CAAAGATCTTTTTTTTTTTTTTTTGTCTTTTTGTCTTTTTCCGTGTCCGGCAACGGATTGCAACCCCCAGTGTTGCCCCCGTACCGGACCGGGGACCGGCCATCCCTATATGGGATCCGAACCCGCAGTGGGAGCGCTGCTGCGCTCCCAGCGCTGCACTCTCCCGAGTGTGCCATGGCCTCGGCCCCAAAGATCATTTTTTATGCACCTTTGCACAGTCATACTTTTTTATCCAATCCAGAATGTGTAGATTCTGAGCCTACCTGGACTTCTGGCCTCGAACTCAGTCGCTGGATATCTGGCTACCTAGTATCTCCTTTGAGTTGCCTGATTGACATCTCAAACTCAACATGACACAATCGAACCTCTGGTCCTCCTGTAGAGGTAGGGCTGGATCTGAAGCTCACAGACCCTTCAAGTCCATTGTCCAGACTGGGTCCCAAACCCTTCGCACGCAGGTCTACAAGCTAGGTAACCGGAAAAAGGTCCTTGGAGCCTTGGTTGAAGGAATAACAGTCTTTACTCAGCATACACATGTCTAAGAGCTAGGCAGTCCAAAGAGAAACTCAGAAACTCAACTGCTACCTGCAAAGTCAAAAGAAAAACTGAGCAGCTGCCAGCAAAGTAAACATGTTCTACTTTTATTATCTATCTATCTATCTATCTATCTATCTATCTATCTATCTATCTATTTTAAAAGATGACTGGTAAGGGGATCTTAACCCTTGACTTGGTGTTGTCAGCACCACGCTCTCCCAAATGAGCAAACCGGCCATCCCTATATAGGGATCCGAACCCGTGGCCTTGGTGTTATCAGCACCACACTCTCCCCAGTGAGACACTGGGGGGCCCTAAACATGTTCTATTTTTAGACATGAGGTCTGCCATCCAGTTGCTGCTTCACAAACTCAAGAACACACAAAAATAGCAACAAACTAAAAAGATACATTGGCTCACATGCACACTAACTCCACCCACACAAAACTTCTTTTTTTTTTTTTTTTTTTGTCTTTTTCCCTGTCCGGCAACGGATTGCAACCCCCAGTGTCGCCCCCCCGTGCCTCACTCAGCCAGTGAGCGGGAACCGGTCTGTATATGGGATCCGAACCCTCGGCGGGAGCGCCGCCGCACTTCCCAAGCGGCGCACTAGCGCAGTGCGCCACCGGGCCAGCCCCCACACAAAACTTCTTTACAGAGAATGTGCTGCAACAGCCCCAACCAGACCTGAGGGGAGGGGGCCTGATTAAATTATTCTATTTTTCTCACACGTCCCCTACTCCAAACTGTTCTATCCTCAGTCCTCCATATTTCAGGAAAAAGTGACCAAAAGGAAAATTCTAGAAAAGCCGAGAGTACTGAGGGAGAGCTGAGACAGAACCAAGAAGCTCTGCCCCAAAGCTTTCATCCATTAGCTACGTTTAAGCTCCTTTTTCGGTCCCAGGCTCTGTGCTGGGTGCTTAACAGAGAGGGAGAAAGAAAGAGGATAAACATTCTAGACCAAACAAACGGGGGTGGGGGGTGGGATGGCAGGCTGCAAGAGCAGACATAGCTGTTGTAGGAGTCCTGAGAGGTTGGGTCCCTCCGTAGCAGCTGGCCAGTACAGGGCTCGAGCCCTGGACCTTTATGTTATGAGCACTGCGCTCTAACCAACTGAGCTAACCAGCCGGCCCGGCCCTCAGCTTAAAGGCAGTGGAATTTGGATAGTGAATTCTGGAAAGGGACCAAATCCAGAGCAACCTGAAGGTAGCAGAAGGTGGGGAGTAGGAAGGGGAGTGTTCTGAGAAATTGCCCTGAGGGCGGGGTGGTGTGAAGGAAAGACAAATTCCTTAACTCTCAATTAGATTAGGCTTGTTTCTAACCCTTCTCTTAGAACCAGGAAATGTGATCAAGACAGTACATTACTATGTACTGGGATGTAGATATATAAACACGCGTGTGCACACACGCACACGCGCACACACGCACACACACGCACACGCACACAGAGTATTGAAACTTAAGGTGCTTTCCATATTCAGCTAGCACCAAATCTACAATTTTGTAGGTTTTCTTTCCCAGGAAATGACTCCATTTATTTAAGCGTAAAAGGGAATAACTGGATCTATAGCTACAGCGACACCTCTCTATCTGTCTCTATGTATATTACATCATAGTCGAGGTGGTTTGTGAATCTGGTCACACTTGGGAAGGATCTGATTTAGATCTGAGGTATTCTGTCCTAAAACCAGCTGGAAACCTGTAAAATGCTCTTGTGCAGGATCTTCCACGTCCTCCTCCTTTGGCTCATTGTTCTGCCTAATTTTCATCATTGTCTACACTTGTTATCTATTTAGCTCTTTATTTTGTTTGTTGACATCACCCTCCTGGAATGTCAGTTCCACGAGGACAGGGAATTTTGCTTATAATGGTCACTGCTGTGTCTCAGCATCTATATGTAACAGAATGAAGCTAGCAGACCAAGCTCCTCAGCCCCAAGCTAACCTGATACATTTTTGTACAGTCCATGAGCTAAGAATGTCTCTTTCTCTTTTAAATGTTTGAACAAAAACAAAGGTATATAATATCTCATGACTTGTGAAGATACATACAATTCGGGCCGGCCTGTGGCTCACTTGGGTGAGCGTGGTGCTGACAACACCAAGTCAAGGGTTAAGATCCCTTTACCAGTCATCTTAAAAAAAAAAAAATACATACAATTCAAATTTCAGTGTTTATAAATAAAATTTTACAGGCACACAGCCATGCCTGTTTGTTTACATAGCGTTTATGGTTGCTTTTGCCTTATCAATGCAGAGCCGAGTAGTTGCTACAGTCGGTCTGTGGCTCACAAGCTAAAAACATTTACTACCCGGACCTTTATAGAAAAACGTTTGTAGATCCCGGAACCAAAACAGTGTCTGGTGGTGCTGGCCAGTTAGCTCAGTTGGTTAGAGCACTGCCTTGTAACGTCAAAGTCAAGGGTTCAGATCTCTGTACCAGTCAGCGGACAAAAATAGTGTCTGGCATATAGCAGGTGCTCAATATATGGAGAGATTATTACTGAATATCTGATGGAAGAGTCTGAGGCAGTTTACAATTGTAGCCTTTGAAGACCCAGACTAAGATGTGGCTTTGCCAATGTCTGGGCAGGTTGCTTCCCATGTCTGAGCCTCAGAAAATGGGGTCAATGGGAATGTATAACATGCAAAGAGGGGCTGGCCGCTTAGCTCACTGGGTTAAAGCACAGTGTTGTAACACCAATGTCAAGGGTTTGGATCCCTGTACCGGCCAGCCGCCAAGAAAAAAATGCAAAGAGCTCGATCTGGCAGTTTCTAGGAGAGTTAGGGCTCAGCACTCTTAACCACTGAACGTCATGAATCCCTCACGACCCATCCCCCAGCTTCAACAATTAGCAACTCACAGTCCATTTTGTTGTCTTCTCCCCCATGACCTCCCCATCATTTTACTTTATTTATTCTTTGGTGGCTGACCAGTATAGGGATCAAACCTTGGATCTTCGTGTTATGAGCACCACCCTCTAACCAACTGAGCTAACAGGCCAGCCCCAAATCATTTTAAGCAAACCCTATACCATTTCTTCTGTAAATAGGCTTGGGACTTGTTTCTAATTAATAACGACTCCTTAAAACATAGACACAATACCATTATCACACAAAATCTTCAAACTATGACAGTTGCAAGAATCTACACATATGATAACATTTCATAGAACCACACACAGACACACACGGGCATGTAAAAACTGGTGAAATTCAAGTAATGCCTGAGCCTGAGTGGATTATATGATACCAACATCAATTTCCTGGTTTCCACACACACTGTGGTTATATAAGCTCTTAGCATTGGGGGAAGCTGGGGAAAGCATACACAAAACTGTCTGTACCATTTTTTTTTCCTTTTTTTTTTTTAAGATGACTGGTAAGGGGATCTTAACCCAGTTGACTCTCCCAAGTGAGCAAACCGGCCATCCCTATATAGGGATCCAAACCTGTGGCCTTGGTGTTTGACGTGGTGTTGTCAGCACCACACTCTCCCAAGTGAGCAAACCGGCCATCCCTATATAGGGATCCAAACCTGTGGCCTTGGTGTTGTCAGCACCACACTCTCCGAGGTAAGCCATGGGCCGGCCCTGTCCGTACTATTTTTGCAACTTCTTGTGATTCTTAAACTTTTTCAAACTAAAAAATTATAATTAAAAACAAAACCCAACCCCCTGCAGAATCAGCATGGCCAGAACTAGGTTAAGGCGTGTAAAATTCATTTGTGCAATTACAGAGTAGGATTCTGCATTTACCTAAAATTTAGATACCTCGTCCATCCTGGGTTACCTTTTGCATTAGCTTTTATTTCTTAAAATATTGCACTAAGATATGTACCTTGATGACTGAGATTTTCTTAAGTTTTTTTTTTTTTTTTTGGTGCCCCCTTAAATTTTACCTAATTTCTGCCCCGAGAATTACAACCTCAGGGAGCGGGCTTTGAAATACACATTTTATCCTCTCACTTCCCGTTTTTGACGTAAGAAAATTTGCACTCCGTTTCTTGTGAGCACTGGGGAGCCATGAATAGCTCTTGAGCAGGGGAGGTCCCGGGTAGTGCGGGTTCCCAAGCTTTACTGTAGGTAGGCAGGCGGCACCATGGGGGCGGGGAATCACCCTGCAAAATGGAGAAGGCTGCACGAGCTCCGGGTGGGGGTCCCGCATTCCTCCGCCTTGGGCCGGCCGGAGGGGTGCTGAGCCCACTCCCCATCTGCGCTCCAGGACCCGGATGTGCAGCTCGAGGGGCGTCTGGACCCGCCGACTATGCACCAGGCTGCGCTGCAAGGCGCCTCACTGCACGCACCGGCGGCCGCTGCGGTTGAGCAATCGTCCCCTCCCCCGACGCCGCCGGGAGCCAGGCACGCACCTGGCGGCCGCTGCTCGCTACACCTGGCTGTATTGTTGTCCTCGCCGTCGCCCCCTCCCTCCCTCTCCCCCTCTCCAGACGCGACCCAGCAGCTGCCCAGAGCTGTGCGGGGCTCGTGCCCCTTTAAGAAGCCAGAAGCCGCCAAGGGTGGGCGTGGTCCCTGCGAGCGAAAGCGGGGGGGAGGGGAGGTGCCGGACGGCTCCGATTGGCTCGAAGCCCGGGCGGCGGCCACGCCCGCCTGCGCAGTGCGCAGCAGCGCGCGCCGCGGGGAGGGAGGAGCGCGCGCGGGTGCTAATTGGCCCGGACGGCGGCCCCGCCCGCGAGTGGCGG